AGTGATTCAGCAAAATGACCTAGGCACAAATGGACACACCAACAAAGCGGTAGACATTCGCAAAATTGGTCCTGTCGACGTCGACAATGCGGCCTGAGACGAGTGAATGCCATCGGCCGCGATACCGCCAATTCAATGCTTCACTTCAAGCCCAGGCAGAAACTCGCCTCTCTTTGCAACTCTTCAAGGCCCCCTTTGTTGCCCTGACATACAGAGCCCTCTCACCTGACTCAAACCGTCGGCTCATCTGGCCCATCTGTACCCTTGGTTCTTCATTTAGCCCTCGGTCACCTGACTTTTCGCCCCACCCACCCTCCCCCTAATGGACACGACTTCAGCATGAAAGTAAATGTGGCCCGGCCAAAGGTATACATATCGATAGATTGATAGATGAATGGATGGATGGATTAGTAGACATGTGTACATGTACCCAGACATACAGACAGACAGACATACGGATAGATTGATGGATGGATAGATAAAAAGGTAGATAGAGACGACATATGAAAAATGAAGAGCCGGCCGTTTGTTTTGCCCATCTTAACCATTCCTTTTTTTCACTCAACCACTGTCTCGTCGTGACCTCTAAAATGGTGTCTACGCCTGTGCGTATGTCTGTGTGCATGTTGGCTTTGTCATTTTTCGCAGTGGGGAAATTGGCGTTTTGCCATTTCTTTCTATTTCCCAGTTCGCATTTCCTTAAAGCCTGCCATTTCCCCTTGCTTCGTGCTATCAATTACTCGGCATTTTTCCACATTCTGCAGTCCCACCATAAAGCGCCCTCTCTCCGAGTTATCGAGGGGCTCTGGTGGGCTTAACAGCCAGTTGGCCTGTCAACGGCTTCCGGGGGCAATGAAATTCCCACCGACTCGCGCCGACTGCACGAATAGGCAGGAGTGGCCGACTCGACCTAATCGCCACGGGCATACATGACGACTCTCTGCTCTCCCGTCTCCTGCCCTCCCCCGCCCCCGCCCCCGACCAACTGGACAGGAGACACGAGTTCCAGTGTACCTTCTGGCAGCACCTTCTGGCCGGGCCGAAGCGCCGGATGGAGGGGAGGCCTAGGGACTTGGACGATTTCATGACTTTCAAGAGCACGATTGGCTGATGGTTGCAAAAGAAGCAGGTTTCCCATTCAACTGGTCCCGAGTTCATCCATCTGGTTGCGGTGATGCTGAAGGGGCAGGCAATCGCCCTTTTCACCATGCTCCACGTGTGCACACCGGCCATATTCGGGAGCTAGGCAATCAGGAGACCAAACTGTTGCTACTTACAAAAAATTCAGTAGTATGTCTAGGCTAAAGACCGATTTTCCAGATAGATTGCCTATTTTTCATTTGTAACTAGGTTGTCGACACCGCCAGTCAATCAGATGTGTTTACCCTATTCCGTTTGAGGCGTTGAAGTGTGGGTAGTTGAAATGTTCCTACAATGTTATGGGTAGGCCATACATTTCCTATGCATTTCGCATAGCCTTGCTTCCCAAAGGTATTATCATCCAGGGAGAGGTTAAATGCTGTTTCGTCCTCGTCTAGGTCTCATCAACACTCCCAGACGATGTAATGCCCATTCAATGCAGGCTAACTAAACTGAAAAAACCTAAAATAAACCATTTCTGTAGTTAAAACACCTGGACACTATGAATAGTATTAAAGTGATCTATCCATCTCAGAATGTATTAAAAATGAGTTCTTAGTAGACTTTCGAGACTACCAGTAAATCAGTAATATGAGATGTATTCCCACCATTTCATTTAAGGTGATGAATTTTCTCACGACGATATGCGTAGAGCTGACGTATCCATTGAATTTCACATAGCTTTGCTTTTCCAAAAAATGTTCTCATCCCGGCTGGAGTGGGCTGCAGTTTCGACTACACTACTTATTTTCCGTTCATAAGTAGTACTTCGATAATGCCAGCATATAGTCTCATATAACGGATTTATTGGTAATCTCGAAACTCTACTTATAAACGAAAAAAATATCAAAAATTACTTTTCTATCAAAATTAGTCCTTTGAGTAGAGAATTCATCGGAAAGCAACAATGAGGATGGCTATGCTGGCAAATCACTGCACTTTGGATATTTATGGCGGATAGATCGGGCCCACCTGACCATTCTTTCGTCCGATTATCCATCTCTTCATCTAGCAATTCATCATACATCAATTAAATTATGCTACCATCATTTGCTTCATCATTTGTATACTAAAGATATACTTATTTATTCATCTAGCAACTTATTAATTTATCGATTGATTTTTTAAATCTAGCCATTCATCCATCCACGAGGGCATGGATGGGCGAATGGATGCGTAAATAGACAAATGAAGTAATTGCTGAACCAGCGCAGGTATGCGTGGATGAAAGTTGATGAATTCTGGATGAAAAAAAGAAATGTGTAGATTAATAAGCTGAAAAATAAACGGAAAGTTGAATAGATAGATGAAAAAATGGGCGAATACATTCAGCATCTCTTCAATTGTGTCACTATTCCTCAATCTATTCACTCATCCATTCATCTCTCCCACTCTCACCCTCACATCATTTGTAACTAAGTTATTCAACCATCCACTCCCACATTTATCCATTCACTATCTATTCAATTTATTCATTCGTGTATCATCTTCTTAGCTTATCCATTCAGCTTTTTTACATCCAGCTTTCATCCAGCTATATATT